CAAATCCTTGCTTGAAATGGTTATTTCTGTCCTCGGTTTTAATTAATAGGAAGAGATTCAGGGTTATTTTGGGTGAGGTGAAATTCCTCGGGTGTTTTTGCCCACAGTGCCAGGGCTTTCCTGGACATCCCATTCCGCCCCTTCAGGGTCTTCCCCATTAAACCCCATCTGGAGGGGGAAATTTAAAACAATTAAAAGCTATTTAAAACTACATTTCCTCCCCTCTTTTGCAGGTGATCCTGGGTGGGGGACGGAAATACATGTACCCCAAAAATGTCAGTGATGTGGAATATCCCCACGAGGAGAAGCATCGGGGCACCCGCCTGGATGGCAGGAACCTCGTCCAGGCATGGCAGGAGGCCAAGCCCCGTGGCAAGGTGACAAGGGACTCTCTGGGGGTGGGGGTACACACACATCACCCCACTGGAACCCTACAGAGCCATTCCTAGGGGATGGAGTATTTGGGGGAGCATCTGAGGGGGTGGCAGAGGCAATGGAAAGGTGACAATGCCCCTGTTGCTGTCCCCAGGTTGCTGAGTACGTGTGGCACCGGCGAGGGCTGCTGGCGCTCAACCTCAGCCGCACCGACTTCCTGCTGGGTGAGTCCCTGCACCCAAGGGTGCCCTGGCAGGAGCTGGGTGCTTTAGGGGCACCCCTGTACTGTCCTAGGGTGCTGGGCCAGCTGCAGTGGCCAGTTATCCTCTCAAGGGTGCTGCTGCCCTGTCCTGGACATGCCCCAAAGATGGTTCTGATCCCCTGGGGGAGCTGGACGATCCTGTTACCCCCCTGGGGATGCTGATACCCCAAAGGGATGCTGTTACATCCCCAAGGGTGGTGCTACCGCTGCCCCCAGGGGTGCTGGTACCTCCCAAAGAGGCTGCAATCCCAGGAAATGCTGGTGCCCCACCCTGGGGATGTTGGTGTGCTCTCGAGGATGTGCTGCCCACCAAGGACGATGTTACACCCCCAAGGATGCTGCTGCTCCCACCCTGGGACACAGCTCCCTCCTAGGGATGCAGCTCTTTTGTCAGCAGTGAAATTCCCATCCCATCTGGAATGTGGAATCCTGCCGGGCAGGAGGAAGGAAGGGCTGGGATTATCACCGGGTTCTATCTGATCTTCCTGGATCCGGCGGTGTGTGAAACACTTGAGCCAGCACAAGGAGCAGGATTTGGCCCCCCCTTTTTCTTTTGGTGGGAAAAGGATGTGCCCAGCAGTGTCCCTGTCCCCAGGCCTCTTCGAGCCAGGGGACATGGTGTACGAGCTGGACAGGAACAACGAGACAGATCCATCCCTCAGCGAGATGGTATCCGTGGCCATCAGGATACTCCAGAAAAATCCCCGGGGGTTCTTCCTCCTGGTTGAAGGTGGGAGTTCATGGGGGTGCAAAAATAGGGGATAAAATAGGGCAATGAGGGTGCAAAATGGGAGGGGATTCAATAAAAGGGTGCAAAGGGAGTGATGGGGATACAAAAAGGGGAGGAAAAAGGGGGTGATGAGGTACAAAAGAGGCTGCAGAAAGGTGGGGAATTGGACAAAGGGGAGGTACAAAAAGTGAGGACTGGACCGTGCAAAAGGACGGGAAATGGAGAGATGGAAGAACAAAAATGGGGAGTAAGGGTGATGGCACAAAAAGGGAGGATCATGGGGAGATGGGAGTGCAAAAAAAGGGGATGAGGAGGAAGGATAAGGGGGTGGTGGGGGGTACACAAATGACAGATAAAGGGGATATGGGGGAATGCAAAAAGAGAGGTAACAGGGACAATGAAGGTGCAAGAAGGGAAAAAGGGGTGAAGGTGGAATGCTAAAACAGATTAAGGGTAGGGGGATAAAAAGGAAGAATAAAAGAGCTGATGGGAGTGCAAAAGGGAGGATGTGGAATGTAAAAAGGGGGGGTAAATAGGGTGATGGGGAGACGCAGAAAGGGAATAAAGGGGAGTGCAAGGCTGGGAAGAGGAAGGGAGGGCAATACCGAGCAGCGCCGGGTTCCGCAGGCGGCCGCATCGACCACGGGCACCACGAGGGGAAGGCAAAGCAGGCGCTGCACGAGGCCGTGGAGCTGGACAGGGCCATTGGGCTGGCCACACGCCTCACGTCCACCCAGGACACACTCAGTGTCGTCACCGCTGACCACTCGCACGTCTTCACCTTTGGTGGCTACACCCCCCGCGGGAACCCCATCTTTGGTGAGCTCTGCCCGGCCATGGTGCCGGGGACAGCTTGGGGACACCGTGGGGATGCTGTGGGGACACCCTGGGGGGATTCCATCCTGGTGACTGTGGCACACCACCAGGCCTGGCCCCGATGCAGAGCGATGTGGACCGCAAACCCTTCACCTCCATCCTCTACGGCAACGGCCCCGGCTATAAAATCGTGGCAGGCGAACGAGAAAACGTCTCTGCCGTGGATTTCGGTGAGTGTGTTTTAGGCCAAAACCCCTTAAAATCATCCCAACTTGGCTAAAACGAGCTGGGTTCTTACACGATTCTCACCCGTGCTGTTTACCCCAGCACACGCCGACTACCAGGCGCAGTCAGCCGTGCCGCTCCGGCAGGAGACCCACGGTGGCGAGGACGTGGCCGTGTTCGCCCGCGGGCCCATGGCCCACCTGCTGCACGGGGTCCACGAGCAGAACTACATCCCCCACGCCATGGCCTACGCCGCCTGCATCGGCTCCAACCGAGGCCACTGCAACGCCGCCACCCGCCCTGCCACCCCCCTGCTCCTGCCCTTCTTCAGCCTCCTCCTCCTCCTCCTCTGCTAAAGTGCCTCTTGCAAATCACCAAGGGGGATTTATTTTTAATTCATCCCCCCTTTTTATTTTTTTGTGGACAGCAGCGCCCGGGAAAGAGCGAGAGAACAGAGAGACTCAGCGGAGCTAAAGCAGCCGCTGGCGGTTTGGTGCTGGGAGCTGCCTCTGTAAATACATGGTTCCTTCCCTATAATTAGCAACGTTCCCTGGCCTATCCCAAACCCACCGCAGGATTGGGGATGGCAGCTGGAGCCTCGGCGGATAAAACCCCCTCTTTGAGCGAAATGCGATGGGGCTGGGTCCCAAAATGCCTCTGCGGTCCCTTGGCTGAGGACTGACCCTGGTGCCCAACTCGTCACATGTGTGGGGAGCCAGAGACCACACGAAGATGGGAAAAAAAATTAACTCATCGGGTTAATTTGTCCCTAAACTTGGGTTTTGTTGTCTCCTCAGTGATTCAGTGATTTACTTTGTTTTACAATTCTTTGGGTTAAAGCAATTTGCTGCCCTGGGAGGGATTTGGGAAGGATTGGGGCTGGGGCTGTGGATGAGGGGCGAAGGCAGCAAAGCGGGATGTAAGGGGTGGGAGGCCCTGGGACACGCCCCCTTCATTAGGGTGAGTTAATTAGGGGGTAATTTTAGTAGGTGGGGTCGAAAGGGGAAAGGGGTTTGTGCAGTTGGAAGGGTGCTGGGAGCGTGAGGGCTGGGCAGGGACATCGACACTGGGTGTGCAAAGGGTGCAAGGAGCGGGCAAATGTCACTGTGCTTGTGCCAATGTCACCGTGCCAGCGGGTGCTGTGCCTTGCACATGCAAATGTGACAGTGCCAGCGTCACTGTGCACCTGCAGACACGGCCTGAGCTCAGCACAGAGCGCCCTGAGTGTGCAAATGTCCCCTTGCACACGAGGATTTCACTGAGATGTCGCGGTGCGTAGTGCCCTGCATGTGCAAACGGCTCCGCACGGATGGCACTGTGCTCCAATTCCCCTTTCCACAAGGTACAAAAGCCACTGTGCACGGGACTGTCCCTGAGTCACCATGCCCGTCCATACAGTGAAAATGTACAGTGCAAACACGTGCCCAAGTCACTGTGCTCGTGCAAATTATCCCTGGCACGTGCACAAGTCGCTGTGCACCCACGAAAGCCCCACGGTGCCCATGAGCGCAAACGGCTGGGAAAACACTGCCTCCCCCAAACCCCTTCCAAAACGCCCCTAAACACCCTCCCTTGTTTTTCATATTTACTCACCAGTTTTATAATTGAAAATCCAGTTCCTCATTAACCAGGATCCCTCCGAGCAGGTGCAAGCGGTGCCCCCGGCAGGGCTGGGTTTGAGGGGTCTCTGTCCCCGCCTTTGCCCCCTCCCGGCATTGCCGGATCCGGCTGCTGGCACTTCCCAGAATTCGGGCAGCCCCGAGCTATGTTTAACCACTCCCGGGGTGCCGCGTGGTTTTGGGGGATTCAGGGGGGTGGGAACCACTTTTCCTTGGCCAGGGGGTTGACAGGATGCCAGTGGCCACCGGGGCCGTGGCCAAATGCCACTCCTGACACCAGGCTGACCAGCAGAGCCGAAAGAGGCACTTTGGGGGAGGGGGAGGCAACGCCTGCCGTATTTCGGGGTACTCACAGCATCCCAAAACCAGGGACCCCATCAAAGAAAGGCTTTGCTCAGCTTAGCTGCAGTGAAACCCAACATTTGGCTAAATGACCCCCTGAAATTAGAGTTTTTAGAGCCCCCACTGATGTTTGGGGTTTTGGGACCCCCTAGATATCGGAGACCTCCCCCACTGTAGCGATAAATAAACTTTTATTTTATACAGGACTCACGGGAAACACAAACACAGTTTGGGAGGGTGTGAAAAAATATTCCTCCCCCTCCCCGCAATTCCAGCCTCTGGCCCATTCCAGAACTTTCTTCCCTTATAATAAAGGGGGGGGGAGGGGGAGCTCCACCTTGGGGTTACCCTGGATTTGAGTCCCTTCTTTTTTGGGGGGGAGGGGGTGATGCTGGGGTTGGACCCACTCTTCCTTTTGGGGTCACAGTGAAGGGGGGGCCCCTTTGTAGTGCATCACCCCCTCACCCAAGGGGTTTTTGGGGTGACAGAGATTGTCTGGAGGGGGGCACATCCCAATATTTTGGGGGGGTCTCCCCAAATCCTGCACCGGGGATGATGGCTTCAGCTCCTGGCACGGGGGTGGCACACAGAGGGGGCGAAGCGGTGACACCCCCGTGGGTAGGGGGGGTGACTATGAGCCCTGTGGGAGGGACATCAGTGGGGGCACCCCAATGTGGGCACCCCCATACTGCACTGGTGGAGGGAGGGAACAGCCTCACCGGATTAGGGGGGGGCTGCTCCAGCTGGATTTTGATCTCAGGGCAGGGGGGGTCAGGCGGGCAACGGCCTGGGAGAAAGGGGGGGGAACATGAGTACCCCGAGGGGTCCCCCAGCCCCGCGGCGCCCCGAGCCGGGGGTGCTGGGCTACCTGGGGGGGTTCCGGGGGGGTCATCTGGCCACGGAGTGTCAGTGAAGGCGTCGCGGTGGCTCCCCGAGGGCGAGCGGCTCTCCTGAGGGGGCGTGGGGGGGTCATGGGGGTGCTGCCCACCCCGGGCTGCCCCCCCGGACCCCCCGCCCGGGCTCCCCGTACCCGTCCGGGCTCGCCCGGCTCCTCCGCGGCGCTGCCGAAGCTGCTGGCGCTGGAGGAGGAGCGGGAGAAATCCGGCGCCTCTGGCTTCTCGGCCCTGCCAGGGACAGTCCCCAAGGCCAGGGACAGTCCCCAAGGCCACAACAGGCTGGCACCTCGCCTCGTGGCCACCACCGCGGCCCGCTGCGATGTTATGCTGGCCCCGGGACACCCTGTCCCCACACCACCCCGACCAGGACACTGCATCCTCATGTCACCCTACGCCCTGTCCCCACCCCGTGCCATCCCTGGGAGGTCCCAGCCCCATGCAATCCTGTCCCCACGTCTCTTGTCATCATAGCAGCCTGTGTCCGTGCCATGTGTCCCTGTGCCACCCCGCCCCGAGGTCACCCCGGCCCACTGCATTCCCTTACTGTCCCATCCCTCCAGTCCCTGTGTCATCTTCACATCGCCCTGCCCGTGCCCATCCCTGTGCCACCCCAGGCGGTGTCACCCTGTCCTTGAGCTACACCATCCCAGTGTCCTCCACTCCCCTGTCACCCTGGTGTCACCCTGTCCCCGTGTCACCTCGCCTTGGAGTCACCTGGTACCGGTGCCACCCTGTCCCCTTACCACAGCATCCCAGTGCCTTCCAGTCCCCATGGAGTCCCACCCCAGTGCCACCCCATCCCAGTGCCCTTCTCTCCCCGTGTCCCCGATCCTGGTGGCAGCTGCGGGACCTGTCGGGGTTCCGGCGGCTCTCGGGGGAGCTGTGTGTGGAGCTGGAGCCGTCGGCGGCTGCGGAGCCGTCCCTGCGGGGAGACGACGGCAGTGAGGCGACAGCGGGAGGCGACAGCGGGAGGGGACAGCGGGAGGGGACAGCGGGAGGGGACAGCGGCGGGGCCGGTACCGGCGCTCACCTGCCGGCCGGCGCCTCCTGG